TCAAGATTAATGATGTAAGGTAAGATGGATGGAGAGATGGTCGAACACAGAGCTGCGGCAAGATTCTGATCCGTTAAAACCCATTGCGTGTATTTGGGATTGGTAATTAGAGTAAGATCAGAGCGCCGTATTTGTTTTTCCGGGGGAGAAAAAATGGGTTCAAGAAATTTATCAAACCCGTTTGCGCGGAAGAGTTTGACGACCTGAGATCGCCATAGCATGTAGTTCTCTGTTGATAGTTGAACAGGAACGATATTCTTCAAATTCCCGATCACAAACTTCAGGGATGAGGAGATGGTTCTTCCTTCTTCAGCTTGATCGGCTTCTGTCGTTTCTTCGGTTTGCGAAGCGGCCGAGTTTTCCATTTCACCGATCCTCTCCTTCACGCTGGCTCTGATACCATGTGGAAACCTGATTCTTGAGGTTTCAGAGAGCTTCTTGACGGAAAGGGAAAGAACGCAGAGAGAGACGGAAGAATGGAAATGTATTTTCTATTGTGTGTTTAATGAGTACAGTATCAGACCTATATATAGAGCTGAATAGGCTGTCCGCCTATAAGCAAATTACAATCCAGCCATTATGAAAAGAATACAATATTATTTGCATATATATCCCTAACATTTATCATATAATACTCTCGTATTATAGTTTTATGTAAAAGAAAAAGCTCGATCAATGTGCAGTTCTGATCTTTAAATAATTTATTTGTAATTTTTTTTGTTTTTGTTATGCTTATAAAAAGATAAAGATATAGATATTTATAATGACAGCTTTGCTTGTCCTTATTTGCTCTATCTAAAACATGCAAACAGAGAAAAATACAAAACTATGGATTGGATCTAAATTAGAGAGAAAAAAATGGAGAAACAGATTACAGAGCTGGAACCTGGAAGCAGGCAAGATCCAGCTCTCCCAACAATGCATCACGTGCTTTCCATTCACAGCAGTAATAAAAATAAATTAATGAAAAATAATAAAATACTGTAAAAATAAATTTATGACCCACAACTTGTGAAGAAGTTAATGAGACAGACAAACAATGGAGGAAAACAGCCATCTCCACTTTGGTGAATTCTGCCCCCACACAAAGCCTCATCCCCCCACCAAAGGGAAAATTATTAGTTCCGATCATCTGATAGAGAGATACATCCGAATTTCCTTCTGTCTACAGAAAAAGCACAGTTACTGTAGCAGCTGCACTTTAACTGTGTTTTAACTGTAGACAGAGAGAAATCCAGTTGATTCTCTTTATCCGGTGACCAGACCTAACAATTTGGTCCACCAAAGGGCATGAAAATTGAAATCCTTAGTTCAAACATTCATCTCAGGCTTATGCTGAAACACCAATTGGCTAAGCTCTGTGTCAGCTGAAGCCAAAAGTGAAATTCCAACCAAATTTGTGTTAAACACTGAACCATATCGGCATTAAAATAAAACAATCAAGAACTTAATTAATTGGCAGCATAAAAGGAGAATAATTTTTTATTTTTTTTAGCTTCTTCATTATCTTCTTTATGAAGGGATATATCAAATGAAGAAGTTGGTGTGAAGAAATCCATGGCTTCACCAAGAATAGGTAAGCCCATAAAACAAGGTGGTCTTTTGACCTCCATCACCTACTATAGTTCACTAACCACCATTGTTCGGCTATGACCCTTAGAACATTATTGCCCGATTATGATCCTCCAACCAATATTGCCCAACTACAATCCTCCAATCACCATCACCCAATTATGATCCTTCAACCAGCATCATCATAATCCTCCGACCATTATTGACCAACTACAATCCTCTAACCACAATATCCAAATTATAGTATTTTGACTATTAGTACTGAACTATAATCATTTGATCAATGTCACCTGATTAAAATCCACTTACTATCATCCTTCGACCTTTGTTGTTTGACTATTGTCCTCCAATTAACTATAGTTCTCCTATCATTAACGTCCGGCTATGATCCTTCAACTACCATCACCTATCTAATATTTCATCTACTGACTACAGTCCTACGACCATCATCTACAAATTACAATTCTTTGACTCAATTATGATCTTCATTGTATATATTGTAGAACAGTAAACACTTCTTTTTTGTGCATATTTTCACTTAATTTTATTAGCATTTTAGGAATGAAAGCAGAAGGTTTCTTATTTAATTTGAAATCTTTAAAATAACTTAGGTGTTGATATAAGCAAATTTTTTGAAATCATCTAGCATCCATTTTGCAAGCCATTTTTACTAGAGTATTGATCTAGACATTATGTAATATTTATTGATAATTTTCATAATCTTTAGAGCTTCAAATTTCAAGAAATAAGATGCTTATGCAGTTTACATCCTAAACCCTAAACTTTTAAAATATTACAAAAATGCCATTTGCTTTATTATTTTTATAAATTGTGGGACTATTGGAAAAAGTATTCAGTAAGATGTGTAATATGTGTATTTGTAAGGAGGTATAAGGACCGTTTTGTTTTTGTTTTTGCTCTTTTAATTTCAAACAAAGGAAGGGGTAAAGGATCTAATTGATTAGAGGTAGAGATTGCATATTTTTTTATATTTCAGTGATAGTAATATTAGTGTTAATATATAGACCCTTTTAATTCTATAGTTTTGTTATATGAAGTGAAAATATGTTGATGACTTCTACTTTAATAATTTTGATGATAAATACAAAAAAAAAAAAATTTACTAAAAATTTAGTTTTAAAACATTTAAAAAGCTATTCCAAACGAAAATTTTGTTCTCACAATTTCGACAGTTGTTGGTCTTTTTTATCTCATTTTTCACTTTTTTTTTTTTTGCTCTTTTTTTGTGTATCCAAATAGAAGAAAAAAAATAATATTCTAATACAGATAATATTAGAATAAATCATTATTTATAATTAATAAAATATAAATCCTTTATATATAATGCTAATCTAAAAACAAACTATCCTACCATAATCAAAAAACAAAATTACACCTATGACTATGTTCCACACAACAAGAACAAAGAAAAGTTTGTACCATAATATTCCAATATGAATTCAATCAAAATAAATTTTTAATCATTAAATTTACTTTAATTAATTAATTAATTTTTATATTACACTAATCGCAAGATAAATTGATTAACTAGAAAATCTATCCTACCCTTTTTTGTTTCTAAACAACCTCATTAGCCCTACTGAAGGAGAAATTATTCTGTGTGAAGACCGAACGTAGAACGCCGTCCGAAGACCAAACGGAATGCACCACGTCAACAATAACAATCCGTCGTACCGAGCAATACTGAGCCACGGTACCAAGCAAGAGATGATGTGGCACATTCTAGTTGATCTTTAAACGACGTTCGGCGTCCACAAAGAATAGCTAATCCTACTGAAGTGGCTAGATTGCGCACAAAAATAAAATAAAATAAAAAATAAACTAAACTTGCAGAGATTGCCTCAATCCACAAACTTGCCCTAAGACATCATAATCCAGCACTAATAATAAAAAAAGAAGAGTTCATGTAATTTAAAAAAAAAACACAGCTACTGTTATGTAAATTGTTGTTCACAGTTCTAGACAGACTGAAACTTGCTGAAACAATGAAAATGTCAGCCCCTCCCCTCCCGTTGTATTCTGAAAGTTTATGATATATCTCCCCACTCAAAACTACAGTTCCAAAGCTTCTATACAGCAAACATGTTAAAAATTATGAAATCAGTCAGCTTCGTTAATTATTTATTATATCACCTTCTTGCAGAAACTGGATCACCAATCAATGCCATCTAGTAGTTCTCCCAACAAATCCTGATCAAAATCACCGAGATTCAAATTTTCATACACTTCTTGCTTTACATTACAGTTGTTGGTACTCCCACAGAAGCTATTATTCATGGCAGCTGGTTTAGAAGCATCGTTATTACTAGGCATCATCACTCTCTTGACTTCTCTAGACAAATCACCAGTGCAGATTCCTGGCCCATTCTGCACTTGAGCTGATACCTTGCCAGGCCCAGCCATGGCGCCCACCTCAGCTTTAACAAAGTCTTTTACAGTGGGTAAGGCTCCCTTACTCATCATCTCTGCCTGAGAAGGCGATTCATTATTACTTGGAGGGGGTAGCTTTCCCTGTAAATCTTGCTGCTGCTGGTTCTTGGTTGATGGAGTATATTGAAATGTTCGGCCGCCACCGGTGCTTAAAGGACCAGTGGCCTGGTATGCCATGGGTTGTTGCGTCTGGATGAGTCCAGAAAACGAAGAGTGATCAGATTGCATGGGGCTATGTCCTGGATTTGGGGGATTTCTTAGTAAGTTCTGGTAATTGGTCATTGGACCGTTAGCTGGAGAAGAATTGTTTGGAAAGCATGTTGATGATATGTTATTTGCTTGATGCCTGCCAAGACCAGGATGTATGGCCATGAACTTGTTCAATGCGCTCTGGTCAGGGTGGAGATTTTGAGAAGTATCTGTCTGCTCCACCTTCATTTTCTGGGCTTGGAGCTTAGCTGCAGCTTGCTGAGTGTAATTTTTCAGACTATCTGCAAATTGGATGATGAAACAAAGAGCTTGTAAATGAAGAGGTTTAACTCTTTCTTTGTGCTAAATAGAGAATCACACAAGCTACAAAATTAATTGAATGGGGGAAAATTTTTAATATAAAGCAAATAAGATTCAAAAAGGTGGGGTTGATGATCGATAAACCGCACAATTTAAACCTTGCTGAATTTGTTCAGATATGGATCATCAATGGATTCAGAAAATTGTCAAAATAGTTCAATGACTATTTATGAGGGGAGGTTTTAGGCCCGGGACTATCTCAAGTGTAAATTTTGGTCCTTTGACTCCCCAATTATGATTCAAAATAGTCCGGGAACTCCTCAATCTCATTCAAAATAGTCAAATCTGATTCAAAATAATTCAAAATGGCGACTATTTTGAATCATATTTTAATAGTCAAGAGACTAAATTGAGCATATTAGTTAGTTAGAACTAAAATAGACCCATACAAATAGTCTAGGACCCATTTGACTTTTCTTTGAAATTCTAAAAGAACCATTATTAGCATCCTTTCCGAGCTGATCAGCTTATTATCTACTCTTGAGCCTTGAAGGTCACACTCAAGACTGGATTGTCCCACAGATTTTTATCTTTCTCAAAAACTATTACAAAGGAACATTACTAAAGCAGTGCAAATGTTAATATATTCTGAGATATAAGTAAATGCCATACCAATAGGCCCCATCTTGTGTGACTGGCTAAAGTCAATCAAGTCTTTCATACAGTTAACAACTTCGGATATCTGTCAATTGATAGGAAGATGGCTTGAAATCATACATAATAACATTTAAAAATAAGTGATAGTTATAAAATAAGCAATGATGCAGATGTAAAGAAAGAGACACTAAAATTACATTAATATAGCTATAGATTTATTTTATGTTAAAAGTTTAAACTGAATTTCTTCCATCAACTTTCACTCAAACAGAACAACAATAAATATAGACCACATATACTAAAAGTACCTGCAAGCATCGAACATATCTTTTGGGAAAACCTAGATCATTTAGTAACTGCAACTCCACATTTCTTGCCAGTTGACGGCCTGCTGACACAAACCTGAAGGAAAAAAGTGTGGCCAAGCATTAAATCTGACTATTTAAACTGTGCTATTAAGGCGATGTTTGCTTTCAAAGAATTGATGAGAGGAAATGGTCATGAAATGATAAAGGAAGTTAATTGAAATTAACTTCAACACAATTGTTTGGTTGAGAAATTGAGTGGAAAAGTAATTTCACCTAGATGCTTAAAGAAAAAACCCAAAAATGCAAGAGTAAATACAACCTTAATGTTATGAGTATTTGATTTGTTCATGTCCGAGTTCACCATTGTCAAACTGTTCCCACTTTGTAAATCTGAAAGTTTGTGTTCATTATGATTGCAATTTGTCTTCGATGTTATTTATTTATTTATTTATTTTGGTTCATTCCAAATGTAAAAATTTACCAATGCTGATCAATCTATTAAGAACCGTCTGCGTTCTCCCATATTAGATTAGCAAGATTTGGTTTGATAGTAAGATTCAGCTCCCTTTATATTCTCCTTTTCGGAAGATCTATCATTGTTTTTTTCTTCAATTTGTTCAATTACTGGCTTATCCACATGATTGAAATTTTTTTGAATGTGATTACATGTCGGATTGTCTTTTATAGTGTGAATTTCATCATTGCTGAATTTTTATATTTGCTAACTATTTTTCATTATGAAATTTCATCCTAAGTTGAATTAGTGACTATCCAATGCTTACCAATCCTACATCACCAAGTTTCATCTTACTCGGTAATTGAATTTCAGCGAAGATTGGAGTATAGTCAGCAGAATTTCGACAAAATGTTCCACAAACAAACAAGAGTCGGTGTCTATAACCGTATAGAAGAGGATATCATCAATGTTCTTTTTGGGATATAACAGGATGGCAACCTTCAATTCCTACTCTCTAATGACCTATAGGCTAGTTTCTCTCTCAAACGGCAGCACTACAAAAACGTGTCTTCCTTTTCCACCAAGGGTTTACGAGGGAATTATGAAAAAAAAAAAAAAAAATCAAGTGTTTTGGTTTTAAACTATACTTTGCATTAATTACAAGTGAGCCAAACATCACAAATGTAATTATTAAGGTAAAACATATTTACTTTCCTCCAAATTACATTAAACCAGATAAAGTCTTCATGTCTTTATCAAAGTCCTCACCTTTTATATCAGACACTTGTCTAATGATAAAACTGCTAATGGGAGACATTTCTGTTGGGCGGAATGTAAAATACGCAACGAAACAAACAAGAAATAAAAAATGCGGTGGAAAGAAAAAGTCAAAGAACATCATGATTTAACGTGAAAAAAACTCAAAAACGGGAAAAAATTACAGAGCCGCACCACACCAAGAAATTCACGATGAAAATTTAAGAGAAATGGTATAGATCTATCTGCTTGCTCACTCTCTCCTTGCTTCTCGTCACCCTTGCATCATTCCCACACTAGAACATACAAAGAGATAGAATAAAAACCACAAAGGGACACAACCCTTACGGAAAAATAAGAAAAAAAAAACCGCACAGCCGACCTCGCAGCATTGCGGCACCAAGTTTGAGCGTTCGCGGCGCTCCCACTATCTGATTTCAGCCTGCACGATAGCGCGGTAGCGCCGAGTACGGTTTTCTGTAGTGCTCCCTAGCAGCGCCACAACACTCTGCTTCTCTATCTTTTTTCACCAAACAATATAGCGCTGAGGCGCTTAGGTACACAGCACCCGGGTGCTGTAAGGGAAAAATTGGTGCAAATCACCAAAACCCAAGCAGGAGGAGGACCCCCTGCAACCTCCTAGCGAACTTAACAAATTGAATTGAGGTCTGAGGCAACAATACAATCCAATTGATCAAACACAATCAGATTCTACACAGAACTAACAATCTCCCACTTGGAAACTGATTGTAATCAATTATTCTCCCGATTTATAACACCAATCATAATATCTACGGTGTGGCCAACTTCTGCTCTAAACCTTCATGAAGACAAGGACCAACTAAAGCTACACATAGCTTCAATTTATCAATTATCACCGTCTTTGTCATCATGTCTGCAGGATTCTTGATCATATGAATCTTCTCCAAAGATATCTGGCTATCTTCCAAAAATGATCTGATGAAATGATATTGAAGCTGAATGTGCCTCGTCCTGGCATGGAATGCAACATTCTTGGCTTGATGAATTTTACTCATGTTGTTACTATGCAAATTTTCATTCCTTTGTTCCATGTTTAAGTTCAGCCATAAAACTTTGCAACCATATTATCTCCTTACTAGACTCAGTGATAGCAATACACTCAACTTCTATTGTTGATGAGAGCACGGTAATTTTCTGTAACCTGGAAACCCATTCATCTCTAAAGCAAAGAGCTTTATCAACTGATCCTCTCAAGTACCAGAGAATCCACTTAACTGCCTTCTAATAAAATTTATTTGGGTTACTCATAAATCTGCTGAGGATGAGTGGCTTTACCCTTAGAGATAGGATACGAAATGAGCATATACCTGAAAAGGTTGGAGTAGCTCCAGTAGAAGATAAGATTAGAGAGAGTCGCCTTAGATGGTTTGGTCACATAAAACGGCGGCCTTCCGATGACCCGGTTAGGAGAGTAGAGGTATTAGATTTGACTTATGTTAAGAAAGGTAGGGGTAGACCTAAAAAGACTTGGTTAGAAAATATTAGGAATGACCTTTCTTTATTAGATTTAAACGAGAATTTGACTTTTAATAGGACACAATGGAGAAAAAGGATTCATGTAGCCGACCCCACGTAGTGGGATAAAGGCTTGATGTTGTTGTTGTTGTTGTTGACTCATAAATCTGCTGACTACACTCACTGCATATACTATATCTAGTCTCGTATAGATTATAACATACATCAAACTTCGAACTGCTAAAGCATACAGACCCCTCTCCATCTATTATTGTTTTGGTTCAGATTTAAGCAATTGTTCCATATATAGCAGAAAATGACTACTTAAGGGAGTGTAAATTAGTTTTGCCTCACTCATGTTGAATCACTGCATCACCTTTTAAACATACTTAGCTTGATATAACTTCAATATACCTGCACTTCTATCCCAGCCACTTCTCATACCGAGAAGTTTTTTTGTTGGACCCAAATCTTTCATTTCAAAGTCCTTTGATAACTGCTTCTTCAGACATCTTCTCTTCTCCATATCTAAACCTGCAATCAGTATGGCATCCACATACAAAAGCATAATAATGTAATAGTTATCAAAATATTTGAAGAAACAACAGTTATCTGCCTAGCACTTCATATATCCATTATTTAACATAAACCAATCAAATTTTCTATACCACTATCTTTTAGTGATTACTTCAGCCCATATAGACTCTTTTTGAGCCTATACACCAAATATTCTTTACTTATCACCACCCATCCCACAATTTACATAATGTAGAGTTTTTTTTAAGGTCACAGTGAAGAAATGTTTTCTTTACATCCATCTGCTCTAGATGTAAATCCTCCACTGTTACTATATTCAGTACAACTCTAATTGTAGTCATCTTCACCGCTTGAAAGAAAATTTTAGTGTGATCTACACCTTCCTTAAAACTTTTAACTACAAGTTTGACCTTATAATTTTTGCTATCATCAGATTCTTCTTTCAGTCTGTAAGCCCGCTTATTTTGCAATGCTTTCTTGCCATCTAGTAGTTGTGTCAAATCCCAAGTCTAACTCAATCCAAGTGAATGCATCTCATCATCCATAACTTGCTCTCCCTTCTTTAAATCATAAACTTGAATGCCCTCATCATAACACTCTGGCTCACTACCATTTGTTAGCAATAGATAGTATAAGGAGAATATCTTTGTACTGGCTTTGAGGTTCTGCTGGATCTCCTAACTTCAGTAGCAGGTGTCCGAGAAACCCTTTGTGCTTCATCATCTTTGTCTTCTTAATCTCATCATCCATTATCTTAATATATTTAAAAGAATCTACATAAGTCTCATTTCTATCCACGTAGATTTCATTTTCATTGAATTTAAAATCTTTGTTCCTGATGAATTTCTGATTCTTATAGTCAAATTCATATGAATCATATCCAATAAATGTATACTTGATAGATTTTGGATCAAGCTTACTCCTAGATCCGACATCAATATGAACATAGGATGAACAACCAAAAACTTTGGGTTGTGATAAACTTACTTGCTTGCCACTCTAGGCTTCCTCAAATAATCCCTCATTAAGAGGAATTAATGGTCCACAAATGATAAGATAAATAGCAGTATTCACTGCCTTTGCCAAAAATTATTTGGGTAGACTTGCATGCAGCCTTATGCTCCTGACACACTCAGTGATAATTCATTCATGTGCTCTGCAAAACCATTTTGCAATGATTTTCTTAGAATAGTGAACTTATGCTTGACCTCATTCAAAGCACAATACTCCTTAAACTTCTTATCACAATACTCACCACCATTATCTGATTTGAGACACTTAAGCTTTAAACCTGTCTCAATCTCAACCATTGTCTTCCACTTCTTAAAAATGTCAAACACATATGACATGTGTTTTAAGAACTACACACATATTTCTATTGTGATTATTAAATAAAGTGACAAAATATAGAAAACTTCCTATAGATGAAACTGGTGCATGATCCGCTACATCAGTACGTGTTAACTCAAGCTTCTTTGACTTTACTTTCGAACCCATTTTTGAAAGACTCGCCTTTTATTGCTTGCTATATAAACAATCTTCACAAAAATCTAGATGTATAGATTTTAAACCAGGAAATTTTTCTCTAATAAGAAGTAAAGTGTACATTTCTTACTTTTATGGCTAAGCCTTCAATGCCAAAGACCTCCATCAACATCTGAATTAGTTACTCCAATAGAATCTGATTTTTTGTTGATAACATAAAATGTGCCTTCAATACTAAAACGAGATATAATTATAGCTCATTTGATCACCTTCCACGAATCTCCTGTGAATGATGTCACATAGCTTGCGTTTGCAAGTTGAATCACAAAAACTAAGGTCCTCTTTAGACAAGGAACATGCCT